ACGAATTTGCTTCAATAAACTCAACGACTTACCTACCTCTACAACTCTAGTTAACTCTAATTACTGGATCCTTATTTCCCTCCCAGTCAATAACTTAGCCAATCCTATAAAAAACACAACATCATCATCTCTCACTTCTTCTACCAACAATACCATTTCACACCCTCTGTTACTCTCACTACAAACATAATTAATTAGCCTCCTAACTTCAATAATCCTCCCCTCCGCCCTCCCCTCATCCTCAAGAATGATCACACATCCTCAACCTAAACGAAATACTTGGTATTTCAATTCTGATATATATATATATATATATATATATATATATATATATATATATATATATATATATATATATATATATATATATATATATATATATATATATATATATATATATATATGGTTAAGTTCAAATGAGAACACTACTTTATGTTACTATTCTACTATAAATTTAATATGTATAGTATTGTAGTAATTATAATATGAATATATTCAATTTATATATTGCTATTCTACTATAAAATTTATATATATATATATATATATACACACACACACACACACTAGGTATGATACTCATGTATTACATGAGTTTATTTAATATATATATATATATATATATATATATATATATATATATATATATATATATATATCAAATTTTAACAATTTGAGAAGTTTAACTTTATAAGAAAAATGAGAAAAATTTTAAATTATTAAAATTAATAAGGCTTTAATACATTAAATACATTACATATGTAAGCATTTTCTAATAAATACCTTACATATATATTACCTTACATATTAAATGTGGAATTTTAATTTAATAAGATGCAAAAAATACAAGAAAAAGACAAGTGGAAAAATAGAAAATTCAAAAATTCTAGAAAATGCCATGTGTCCAAATGAAGGAGAAGATGAAATGTGGCAAAAAGCTTTTGATTTATTATGGAGGATATATATATATATATATATATATATATATATATATATATATATATATATATATATACACACACACACACACACACATAGCCTCTCCCTCCTATCCATCAGAAATATCCATAATATCTTAAGCTCTCAAACGTCCCTCCTACTGTAATGCCATACAAGAGGAATTGAATACCCTCCAATGCAACCATACATGGTCTATCGTGCCATCCTCCTAAGCTAAAAATCTAGTTGGATGCAAGTGGTTCTATAGAACCAAATATAAACCTGACGGGTCAATTAAACGCCTCAAGGCATGAATTGTCGCCAAAGGCTTCCACCAACAACCTAACATTGATTATAGAGAAACATTCAGCCCTATCCCTAAACCAGCAACTGTATGTCTCATTCTTTCCATTGTTATCTCACGCAGTTGGTCTCTAATGCAATTAGACATAAACAATGCCTTTTTACAAGGCACACTTCTTGAAGAAGTTTATATGTCTCAACCCCCAGGTTTTGTTGACGTATCCTATCCCAACCATGTTTGCAAATTAAAGAAAGCACTCTATGGGCTTCGACGAGCATCTCGTGTCAGGTATGATGAACTCAAAACTTATCTCATCACCATTGGATTCAGAGCCATGATTTTATATCCATATCTTTTTATTCTAAAAAATAACTTTCTTTTCATTCTAATCCTTGTCTATGTTGATGATATCATTGTCACGGGTCCATCCCCCATCCACTTATCAAAACTTATAACTCACCTCACAACCAAATTGTAACATCCCAAAAATAATACCCAAAAATTTCCCTTTTAAATTAATAAAACCAGTATCCCAAAAAATCATCATACGAATTCAGATAAGCAAATGTATCAATCATCATAACACAGCAGAGTAAATCAGGAAAATGCGGTATGAGGTGGTGTGTGCTCTGCAATCATCTCGAGCTCTTCCCTTTAGAACTGGAAGCACCTGAAACGTAAACCGAAAACCGTAAGCACAAAGCTTAGTGAGTTCCCCAAAATACCACATACCATACATAATAAACAAATAATGGACCCCGCCTGAAGAGTGTAATGGCCCTGCCCACGCTCGTATATTGGGCCCCACCCAAAGTCGCATAATATGCCCCACCTAAAGGAATATAACTGGCCCCACCCACATACAAGTCATATAAGCATAACTGATCGTAGCATACATAATAACTATCGGGCCCTACCCCGTAACCATACAAACACATACACATACAAGAGTCACATATACATCTAGTATCCTATCATAAGAGATCATGGGCCAACATTGGTGCCTTCAACTTGCTAAACACAAATAGGAAACTCACCTCGAACTACTGAATCACATGAATAAATTTTTGGTTGTTGGTTCGACAAATCCCCAAGCTATTAATACAAAATAACATCTAATTAATAGTTTTATTCCAATCCAAAATTATCGTAAAAATACCATTTTACCCCTTACCTAGTTTGTCCAAGACTAAGGCCCAACATATAATCCAAAAGGCCTAATTACCAAAATAATCATCCATGGCCCCAATATGGCCCAATTTTCAAAATTGGGCCCAAATCCCTTTCATGGGCCTTAATCTAACGTCGAACATTATTCCTAGCCCAAAACACGTGAGTTCTGATGGCACAACAAGGCCCTAATCATCTAAGCCTAAAATATGGCCCAAACCGAAGACCCAAAATTTCGACGCCCAACCTGCTGAGTACACGGGACGTACTCAGCTTGTACGTGCAACGTAATTGCCTTAGGGCTTGTACGCTAAGTGTACTTACTTGTACGCCCAACATACTTCCTCATTCAGCCAACTTTCATTTCCAACTCTTAATCCATTAAGACTTTACTCCATAACTTTGATCTAACTTCCTTAAGATGGTTTATCACTTAAACTTGCTAACTTTACGTGCATGCATGGCTTAATGAAGCTCTTAAAGCTCAAAAGGAATTAATAGATGACTTAATTCATACATGAGACCATAAACCACATATAGTTTACACCTTTAAGCATAATGAACCCTCTAAACATCCAATTCTATAAGATTTAGCTTCTAGAACGGCCTTAGCCATCAAGACCAACCAAAAGGGGACAAAGAAGCATAAAACCAAAAGGGGACAAAGAAGCATAAAACCATAACATGAAGAGATATAAACAAAGGGGGACAAAAGACTTGCAAAATGAGTGATGATTCTGGATCTCTAAGCTTTGCACGAAGAAATGCACCTTCAATCTTCTTTAATCCCTACAAAATGAGCAAAATAAGCACCAACTTCTTCTCAGGACCTCAAAGACATAATACTGGAGGCTAAGAGTCGAAATTTAAGAATTTAAGAGGTATGAAGGCTGGTAAAGAGGACAGCCCTAAGGACTTAAGGAGTTTATCTAGGGTGCAACACCCTAATATTAGGTTTTCATTAACCCCTCGTATGCCCAGCATACGAGACCTCGGTCCCACAATCAATCCCACCTAGTACGCTAAGAGTACCATGTGGTACGCCCCGTGTACTAGCTTCTTAGCTAGTACGCTATGCGTACCCAATGGTATGCCCCGCGTACTAACTCCAAGGACCAAAATGCAATAATTATATACAAAGGGGCTAAAAAGGAACTTACTTAAATTCAAGTGTTACACAAATTCTCTCTGAAAGACCTTGTTTCCCTATCATATTTCCTAGGTGTCGAGGTCCTTCCCCACTCCATTTTCATTCTACTCTCCCAATGAAATAGTTGATATCCTCACTAGAGCCAAAATCACCGATTGCAAACCCATCTCAACACCAATGATCTGTTCAGAAACCCCTACATTGATAAGTGGCACAACATATGCATCCCCAACCGAATATTGCACCTTAGTTGGTGCCTTACAATATATTTCCTTGACAAGACCGGATATATCTTTTACAGTAAATCGCATGTCCCAATTTACGCATGCTCCCACTTCTCTACACTGGAAAACTTTGAAACAATTACTAAGATATTTGCATGGAAGGCTTCATCATGACATAGTTCTACATTGCAAATCTCCTCTTACACTTCATGCCTTCAATGATGTTGAATGGGCAGGAGACAAAGATAACTACAGAAGCACTACTAGATACATTGTTTACCTTGGCTCAAACACTATTTGATGGAGCTCAAAAAGTGAAAACACCATTGCAAGAAGTTCTATCGAAGCTGAATTTTGAGCTGTTGCATCCACAACGGCTAAAGTTCAATGGCTCATCTCATTCCTAAGTGAACTGGGTATTTCATTCACCATAATACCTGCCATATAATGTGATAACGTGAGTGCCACTTCATATTTAGCAAATCCAGTTTTCCACTCAAGAATGAAGCACCTTGCCTTAGACTTCCATTTTATAAGAGAAAAGGTACAACATGGTTCTCTATGGGTTTAACACATAGTGGATGATGACCAACTAGTTGATGCTCTCACCAAAACTCTTCCAAAACTGCATTTTCATTATCTCATATCCAAGATTGGTCTTCTCCTTGGATCGTCCATCTTGCGGGGGAGTATTAAGATATAACTATGTTATATCTATTTTCCATTTATCCCACACGTATTTACTTTGTCAAATATTGTTATCGTATATATCTCAATCCATGTATATCTCTATTAGTTAGTTGTAACACTTTCTTATAAATATCCCTCAGTAATCAATCTTGAGTAATATACACAATACAGTTCACGTATTTTCTCTTCTTATCGTAATCTTTATAAAATTTCTCCCTTCGATCTCACTGCAAGGGGGGGGGGGGTGTTAGTGTATACAGCTTTGTATAATTCATGTATATTGTTTAGCCCATCTACTATTGCCTATAATCTTTAAGCTCAAGTGGCCCATGTATCTTCTATATGTATCATTTGAGCTGAATGAGAATCTTACTATTCAACAATAAGATATGCAAACAACAATAAAATGATAGACATTAAATTGGTGGTTCACATGATTAAATTTATGCAAAAAACTCTCCTTTTGTAAAAAAGTTATGGGCATATTGAACTGATGAGTTATTCTTATGTGCCATTAACAAGCTCAACAAATAAGTCCTGCTATTTTGGATCTTAAGATGTACCTCAATATATGCATCTTAATTTTGACATGTAACTTTTCACAAAAAAGATGAACAATGGACACCAAAAGGGAACATGCCATCGTCCCACCACTTATAAGAAAGAGACCCCGAAACCCATAAAGATTTAGGATTTTTGGTGAAGGGGAAGAAAAATCCTTTGGGATCACCACATGTGCAGATTCATGTTTTAACCATTTATCCTCTAAAGTTTTCAATGTCCCGTCTTGACGCATCTTTGCTATCTCAGTCGACATCTCTCCGGCCAATGGTGAACCTTTTTGGAACACCTGAAAACAGAGCAAGCTACATAAGAAATACAAAAGTAATGGAAGTAGACTTAATAGAAGATGCCAAAAGGATTGGAGAACACTAACAAAGCCAAAACCATTAGTTGTTGATGCTGTTGCGATCAAGGAGAGATCAGAAGAAGGATACATTGCAATAACTGTTTTGAGGTAAAGGATCTCATTGATGATTGCATCAACACTTCCACTTGTTAATGCTTTAGCATAGCCATCAGGTGAATATAGTTTCTCAATTTTTGGGCCGCCAAAGTTCAATCTGTTAAAGACAAGTCCCCCTAAAGGGGAAACATCCAGGAATCCAATAGATATCTGATTCATTCCAATCTGTTGTACAGTTAAAAGTGAACTCAAAGTTGCAGTGTAACTTGATGTCAGCACAAGCACTACGAAAACCCAAACCGTGACCACAAATCTTGATAGATTACTCTGCAGTTTCTCCCCTGAAGTTTTAGATATTAATGCCCATAAGTATCAAATCTTTAAGTAAAATGAGACAAATGAAAAGATTAAGAGAGCTTACTGTGAGCATAAACAAGGGTTGAAAAGGAAAACCAAAGGGTTGTTCCAAATTGCTGTCTTGCTGAACCTTGAAATTCTTCATTTGTAGGATGTTCGATAAACCAAACGACAAACCCCAAAAATAGAAAGAAACAAGCACTTGTGATCCAAAGATCTGCACTAAGAGGATCCAAGAAGATCCACGTGCTTTTCTTGGAATTGTGGACTAGTGTCCCGATTCCAAGATCAGTGAAGGGTAATGTGAAGTCGACATAGAGAGATCTATTTGCTGTGATTGTTATATCCCCAACAGCAACATCATATTCTTTAAGAGAGATTTTTTCGATTACGTCATCATAACTCATTCCATCCTTATAAGGGAGCTGAATAATCTCAACGCCTACTCCATAATCCAATGCATTAAATGCGGCACTGAAAACATCCCCACAAAAGCCACTGACACCCGATAGATTTGTTATGGGATCAACAGTCAGCTGTAACAAATTCGGGAATGTGGCAAAATCTGGAACCAGAATCCTCAGCTTCTTGCCATTGGCTTGTAACATCCTACACTTTGGTGAAGTTTCAGACCCACCCGGCAATATGATACTTTCCAGGCCATGATTGGAAGAAGAATTTGATTTTCCAATTTCTTTCACAAACTCACCATTCGTAGACATCATCATCCAGAACCCTACCCTCCTACCACCCTTACCAATCACATTTACAACTTCCATGGCTTTTGAGATGCTTCTCGCATTCATAAGCTTGAATTCACCACCTAAACCTTGGAAGTTGACTCTTAACATCTCATCTAAAAGTGATGTGCCAACTATATCCAACTCTTTTGAAACAAATTCTTTAGTTTTTACCGACTCGATAGCAGTGGCTAGCGCGTGAACTGCATCATATGCCCATATCCCATTAGAATCTACCTCCTTAAACTCCTTAAAAGGGTTTAAAGCATAATGTTCCTTCCTCCATTTTGATGAAAAGTTGTGAAGCTTTCTTGATGCTGGTAAATATGATCTGAAACCCACAGCCCCCTGCATCGATTTGATTGCTTCAGCATCCATGGAATCCAACAAGTTGGTAGTCTTACTTGTTATGATCCACATGTATCCTTCATCCATCATGCCCAACTCTTTTGCCATGGAAAAAAGATGGGCTGCTAGAGAAGGTGGTGTGTGGACAACAAACACCATGGCTGGAATGGTTTGAAGCTTGTGAAGCTCTTCCCCGACTTGTTCTTTGCTGGCATAGGTCGAAATTAGGCTTGTATGCTTAACTTGTATGCCTTTCTCTTGAAATGCACTAAACATATAAGCAACCATTTCTCTTCCATCTGTAGTGTCCTCACAGAGAACAATCACGTTCTTGGTCTCAAACGATTCAACCATAGCAGCAATGCCTTTGAACTGAGTGGTTTCATCTTCTGCAATTCGAAGAAAGTAAGGATTCTGATTCAAAAAGGGAGTTGTTGAAAACGAAAGAATGGGCACATTGGCTTTGTCACCCAAAACCTCCAAGAATCTTGCTTGGGATGTTGATTCTGGACCTATTATCGCTTGCATTTTACTATTCTCCAAAAGATCCAGAGCTGAATGTCCATGATCAATATATTAATTAGTATTCAAAACTAAAGTTTACTAAAAACTAAAAACAAAGAATCAAATATACCAGCAGATAACGCACGCAGTGTTTCTCCTTGAGTATCCCTCTTCGTAAAAACTATCCTTGTTCTATAGTGAGGATTTTCAGTGTAAAAGTCAGAGATAGCCTGAGTAATGCAACCATAAACGATCTTCCCTACCCATGATTCCATGTCAAGAATCACTCCCACCTGTATGTCCTTGTAAGATGGATCTTCATTTGCTGTTAAAAGGGTTTGAAAGCTAAGCAACATCAATATCAGGAATGAAAATAACCTGCTATTCGCCATTGGCAATCGAAAGTTTAAGTTTCCTGCAGCTCTTGGAGCATCAAGTTGACACAGGTACCGTTTTACAAGTGAAGAAAGAAAATGGAGTCCTGTCGGACAAAAGAACATAAACAAATATATAGGAGTTTAGTATATGGTCTCATGATAGCTCGTTGTTGACATTTGATTATTTTAATTATGCCGCCATGGAAGACCAACATTGACCAGAGAAATAAATCCTGGTCAGAGCTCTTGCGAGCTATCAGCATGTATGCCAAGCCCTAATGATTGGCTAATTGTAAGCATGGATCAAAAAATGGGTTAGGTCTCATTACGCTCTGGTTACATGGTCGTGATTCCTCAACCTTGTACCTAACGATCGGCTAATTGTAAGCTAGCATCATCATTTGACCAAACCTCGGAAGTTTTGACTAAAGTGATTAAAGACGTTTTTTTGGGGTTAGTTTGAAAAAGATAATCGAGCTTTTTTCGTGAATCTTCTAGATTAAGTGATTGAAAGACGACATAAATAATGGGTTGGATAAGAAATTGGAGATATAATCAACTCCATGACGATTCTTCACAACTACATATAAATCAAATCTAACTTTTGGTCCATATAGCTTGTTCCAATCTACATTTTTAGTTTATATTTTGATTTTTAACATGGCTAGTCCCTATAGTTCCAAAAACTTGCACTGGTTGGTACTAACTCCCTCAATTTTGTTGGTACTAACTCCCTCAATTTTCATTTGTTCACTACATAAGAGATTATGAAAATGCACTTACTTTTGTCCTTTTTCTGATTTCGTCCATTTTTCTTATTATTGTCATTTCTAAAAGGGAAAATGACTTAAAAGTCCAACGAAGTTTCCAAACCGTTTAAAAAACTCGAATCATGTTTTGTCTGTTCAAAAAAACCCAACAAACTTAACATTTTATCTAAAAAATCCAACTAAGTTACACTTTTTCGAAAGTCAAATAAAGAAAACAGATGACGTGGCTTATTACCGTATCGGAAAAATGATTTGTTAGACCAACGAAGTTTCCAAAACGTTTAAAAAACTTCAATCATATTTTGATTGTTCAAAAAAAAACCCAACAAACTTAAACAAAACAAAATTGGAATTTTCTGAACGGTTTGAAATTTTGTTGGACTTTTTAGACAAAAGGTTAGGTTCGTTGGATTTTTTTGAACAGACAAAACATGATTGGAGTTTTTTGAATGGTTTGAAAACTTTTTTGGGCTTTTAAGTCATTTTCCCTTTTTTCCCTTTCTAAAACTTGAGTTTTGTCTAATTTCATAACAATGTAATAAGAACCGCTCTATTCCACTAGGCCGTTATATGTATCAAACCAATTTGGGACAATACTAGGTACTTTAAAATCATGAAATTAAGGATTCGGTACAATCAATACCGTAAATGCAAGTTATACCGTTAATGCAAAAATTCTCGGTTCAGCACCATGCTCATTCCTATATTCCACCACTATCACGACAATCAGAGCGGTTCCAAACATATTTGGGCTTGGGGCGAGAGAAATAAAAACCGTTAAAATGCACAAAAATTTCATCAACTTTTTTATATTAATTCGATAATTGAATGAAAATTACTTGTACTACCATATATATATATATATATATATATATATATATATATATATATATATATATATATATATATTAACAGTAACCATTCTTGCAATCTTGGCAGAGACCCAGGAGTGCTCCTCTAGCATTTGTGTTCTCAGATACACGCTGCTAAGCTTAAGCCAGCATCAACTTTTCTCAATTAGTTGAATTCCCACACACTCGATTGAAACATCCACATTAGTAGAATTCACAATTGCGGCCTTTGCTGCCGTATTTTCCCACAAGTAAACAAATGTACAGGAGGCTACAATAAACTAGTGTAACGCTTGACATTTGCCTTCCACCGTCGAACGATTACCGGCCAATTCGATTTGGCTGTAACGTAGAGAGGAAACGGGAATAAGGCAGGGTAAAGAGGTCAATGGTGTTCAACCAAGAAGGGGTAAAGGAGAGGGGCGATGGAGTTACTGGAGGTGGTTGGAACTGGAAAATGAGAGGTGGGGGAGGAGGTGGGAGGCGGCGATGACCATTAGTGCAATTTTTTGATCATGTAAAGGGTAATTATTTTAGGGCTAGATATTTTAAGCCATAAGTGTGAGAATTAGAGATGAGTATTGGAACCGACCCGAACTGGAACCGGCCTAGAACCGAACTTGGTGGAAAATAGAAACCGAACAGGTCCGTCGGTTGATCCTCGAGAAATAGCAACATACGGTTCCGGTTCCCACCGGTTCCCGGTTCAAAAAATTCACAATAATATCGTCCCAGTCGAGAAATAGCAACATACGGTTACGGTTCCCGGTTCTAAAAATCCACAAGATTATTGTCCCGGTCCTGGCCCGATCGGTTCTATATGGTACCGGTAGGGTTTCGGCCGGTTCCCCAATCCTAATGCTCATCCCTAGTGAGGATGAAATATAAATGACGCTCTTTGCAACTTTAAATTGCGTAATCGGGTGTTATTAATTGAAAGATGATGAGAAATTGTTGACTATAAGGAAAAATTGAAGTATAGTGGAAATTCATGAATATTGTTTTTTTTAAACGGAAACCAATTTAGAGGAAGCCTCACCATAATATTTCATTGGTGATTTGAGTTCGAGATCTTTTACAGTGCAAACTCAACCTCCAAGGGGATTTCCAGGGAAACTTCCCACACATGGGGTAGAAGGAGATTTGTTAAGGGAAGGAGACACGGCCTACCCTGATATTTTGGTTAGAAGTAATCTTTATATTTTAATTTTATATATATTAGGTCTAAAAATATAAAATTTTGGTTGTGGCTCTTGTTCACCAATATTTCGTTCATAACAAGAATAAGCAATCCAAATAACAATTAAACCAAAAGTCAGATTAATTCAGTCATAAACACAAAGTAAATGGGTTTAACACCTAAATCAGAAAGTAGCACATAATGGAATCATAGTGGAATGCTAATCCTGGTCCTGACAACAAACCACATGATTTCCGACATGAATCCGCTCTCTAATCCCTCGTATCTTTTCTCTAGTTAGCTTAACGGCATTCCGAACGCCTTCTAGAGCCTCAAAACGACAGAACAAAAGTTACTTGTCAACTAAAGATTAATCGAAATCAAGTTCTTCCCTTAAGTTGGCCGAAAGTGGCAATTTATAGGATTTGGAACCGATCTACGTACGATGGGCATACTTAAATTACACAGGACGTACAGAGAAGATGATCATGATCTGGATCCGAAAACCTATCCCAGTACGTTGGGCGTACCACTAACTACGCTTAGAGTACGTAGGGCGTATACCCATTACATGGGGCGTAATGGGCCTCCATATAAAAATGGGTTAAACTCTTTGGCCAACTAAATCAAATGGTATTCATAAAAAGAATGGAATTTGTAAGATGATGTGAAGAGGAGTCGAGCTCTACACCTAATATTTAAGACAGGATGTTGAAGTAGGTTAACTAAAAACAATTATTTAAAAAAAGGAGTAGTTTTATAAATTTTGAAGTGTTAATTTTGCTTCTGTTGTGTTGTGCATGATTAAAATATTGTTATGGAATCATCAATCCCCAAAGAGTTAAACCACTACCAGATTCTCCAATTCATAACTCGTCAACTATGAAGCTGCCACAAAGGCTAGATAGGAGACAATTCAAATGATGACGGCAACAACAACAAATCTGCTCACCCATAATTAATGAGAACAAAAGTACAAAACAGTGTTCTCTTTTTCCCACTTGTTCAAAAGAAGGTCCTAAGGTCCTTCTGCTCATGTGGCCGGAGGAAAATAAGAAGAAAGCTAACCCATAGTTTTGGTCGAGCGAAGCACAACCATGTCATAAAAAGACTTTAATTAGGAAGGATTCATAAACAAATGATTCTGAAATTGTATGATGATTGCATTATAATACACATACACAAGAACGACATATATAACCAATGTATGCTAACAAAAAGGAGACCGAATAGGAAAATGTACAGAAATATACAGCTATGATTGACTAATTAATAAGAAAAATCTATACTAATAAATAAAACTCATTTTCTGCCACATGTCATGTCCTCACTAATTTGGACACATGGCATTTTAATAGATTTTTAGAATTTATTTATTTCCACATGGAATTTTCTGATTTGTTCACATATCATAACTTATTTCGGTTACAATTGAGAGAAATAAATGCTTTATTGAAAAAGAAATGATATATTTATAATGTAATAAATGACATAATTAATGAGAGCTCTAAAATTGATATTGATATTAAATTTAATGTTTAAATATTGATATTAAATTTTTATTTTTAATAAACCCGTGTAGTACACGGGTCTTACACCTAGTATATAACATATATGAAGTATATCTTATCTTTTGATATGCCCCCACAAGATGGAGGATCCATCGAAGACTCCAATATTGGAACGAAGTTTCTCAAAAGGACCACATGTGCGAGGTTCTGTTAACGCATCATCGAATTGATAAAAAGTGTTGATATGAAAAAATCGCAACGAACCATTGGTAACCTTTCCCGAACAAAATGATGATCTAGAATAATATGTTTCATGCGAGAGTGATACACTGGATTGGTACAGGAGTAAGTGGCTCCGATATTGTCACAATATAAGGTGTGCGGTTGAGTGGTAGGAATGCCCAAGTCAGTCAGGAGGTTCTGAACCCATACAATCTCTGATGTTGCATTAGCTAGGGTCTTGTATTCGGCTTCAATGGATGATGATCTTGAAACAGATTTTTGTCGAGTTGAGTGACATGATATGATTTTGGAGCTAAGATATAACAGATATACAATAGTAGAGGGACCACCACATTTAATTCCTCCCAATTAGAATAAAAAAAAAACCCTTGAAATCCATGGAGGATCCACGATTGAGAAATAAACCATGACGAATTGTGCCTTTTAAGTATCTGAGAACCCATTTTAATGATTAGCAATGATTTTTTTGAGGGAGAGTGCATAAACTGAGACAGGTTATTGATCTCAAAGAAGATATTTGGTCGTGTGAAATCCAAGTATTGAAGAGAGCCCACTAACCTCCAATACAGTGTTGGATCAATGCTTGCAAACCCATCTTGCGATTTGAGA